CTTGGAAAGTGAAAGACACCTGCCACGCACCTGGTCCTGGGAGGTGCCTTGGTGCTCACTGGCCCGAATGGAACCTGTGGCCCCCAGTTTGGCAGTTCTCGTTTCTCTTAGCCCAAGTCCAAAGCCTCGCGGCCAGGCGACATTTTTAATGGGAACTGCTGTGACTAATCCCACTCGCCTGAGTCAGTACCTCCCCCTTCCCCCAGATGGGCTACTGGAGACAACCCAAAGACTCGGGGTGGGGGGGAGGTGATCAAAGGAGAGAACCGTGGGACTAGGGGCATGGTGGTCAGCTTCCCAGATTTGTTTCCATAAATCTAATCTATTGGGTGCTGTTAACAAGTTCACCTGTGTTCCAGGGGAAAGCACCTTGTCAGCTAGATCATGCAGTTCTCACCCTTGAAAGACCCAACTCAAGAGAACCACTGCCAGTCCCCCTCGTCATGGTGGTTGATGTCACAGGAGAAATGCGGGATGCTCAGCTCGATGACCCCACTGTTCACTTGGGCTGCTTGTTTCCTACATCTCCCTCACCACTCCTGGCTGGTTCCCGAAGACACAACAGGCCACTGCTGAATGGGTGTGGATCATTCCAGAATAGACATATGCTGTTTATGAAAAATGTTTAAAACCATACACGTGGATGCCACGAGCCTAAAGGGGTGCAATACTTAATGGAACACGGGAATGGGGTGAGAGGAGTAGAAAAGGTGTCAATTCTTTGTGTTTTAAAATGATGAGAGCAAGTAAATTCAGCAAAATAGTAACATTTTAAAAATTTGAAAGGCGGGCTTCTCTAAGTTTATCTGAATGCTTGAAATACTTCACGCGCGCTTTCTAAAAGATATACTGGCAAATTCAAAAACTGGCAATCCCATACATATCTGAGAAAAATGATTAAAAAGAAAAAACTAAAAGGCAACTAATGACCGAGAGCAATGGACTGAGTATTTTTTATCCAGAGAAAACAGGCATTTCCTGTTGACTGCTGGGCACACCCTACAAAGTATTTTGTGTGATTTTTTAACTCACGAATAAGATATTCTCTCCATTTGCAGGTGAGGGAGCCATGTGAGGCAATGAATTAAACGGTAATTCAGGATTCAAAGCCAAGTTCAAAGGCTGGACCCCATGGCCCAGGTGTCTCAGCAGGCTGCCCAACCTGGTAAACCAACTGAGGCAGTTCCGGAGCAGAGCTGAGGGGCACTTAAGGACCTGGCTCAGTCCTGCTGTCTCTCCTTTTCAGAGTACTAACCAGAAGGTTTGAGAACTTTCTATTGCACAATGCTTTTCCTGATGCCCAGGTTGTCACAGAAGCTGCATTAAACTGTTAGGTGAGCTTAGCCCCAAGAGCAATGACCAAGCCTAACGGGACAGTGGATGTGAAAGACCAAAGGTCAGGGCAGGCCTGGGAAACAAAATCCAGTCGCACCATGGCATCCAGGCCCTGCACTGTCGTCTCTGCTGGCTCCTACCAGCCCCAACCCCTGCCCAACAGGCACCAGGTGAGCACAAGAATTAGTCCTACTTCGCCAGTCGCACACCAGTAATGAGGACAGTGCTAGGCATGCAGCGGGCATTAAACACTTGTCCAAATAGTTACACTAGATGGCCATTGAAATAAGGCAAAAAGTAAACGATGGCAGAATTTTCCTAACACATTAAAGATACAAAGTAAGATTCTTATATATGACCCGTTTTGAAAACTATACTAACATACTAACTGGGCCTCTCATGCTGCTCAGGAGCCTCTTTCAGTCACAGCTCAAGCAGGTACTGCTGCCTCCCTGGAACAGCCGAGAGAGCAAGAGCCTGTGTGAGAAGCGACTTAGTATTTGGAGCACCTGCCTGTGACACGTGGTACAAAAATGAAGTTCATGTCATGGACGTCCCCTCCGGGCCAGACTTCTCGTAGCCACCTCACAGGATCTCCTGCGTGCAGGTTTCAGATGCTCTAGGGGGTAACCGGCCACCCATTACTTGCAAGTTTTCCTAGAACACCCCCCTCCCCAAAGTCATCATGCCAGTCACTTGGCCTGTACCAGATATCACACCATCGCAAATAAAAATCTCAACTCTATTCCCTCGAGCATTTTCATACATGATGTGGTTAACAAGTTTTTATTCATGGAGACAATGAACTGAAAATTCCAAAGCATGGATAGATACCAAGACATCACCTCCCACTGCAGGTTCATGGAATACCTCGATTCATCTCTTCACAGTCACCGACTATTTACAATAGATACAAGGAACATATTCCTCCTGCAATAGTCATCACATGCTTACTGATGAATTACCAAAGCTAAGGTTACACATCTAGCACACTGGACAGGGTGACTCTATTCCAAAATTATACTGAAAACTATTTGGAACAGTGGACCCCACCTCCACTCTTCAGCTATGCCCAAGGGGCCCGTGTTCCCGTGCCCAGGCACAGACTCCAGCCTAGCCCACAGCACACAGTAGGGAGCAAGACATGCAACAGGGGGCCTCCCCTGGGGGCGCAGTGGTTGAGCGCTAGGCTATGAAGGTGCCCACAGCCTCTGCAGCACCAGTTCAATCCCCGGCCACCGGCAAGGGTCCCACATGGCGCGCAGGCCTCTCCTGCCACGCCCGCTGCTCCCCTCAGCAGAGTATTTCGTCAGTCTGCCTGCTCTGCTCCCCGCTCTGGCTCTGGTGAATTCTCTCACCCTCCCGCGCTTCTGACTGTACCCAGTGCTTGTGTAAATAAATAAATAAATCTTTTAAATAAAAAAAAAAAAGACATGCAACAGGAACGTCAATATGCCAGGCAGGTAACTGCCAAACGCACGTCAGCAGGAGGTGCTTCCTCCGGCATTTGAGAAAGCTGGAGCTGGAGCTCACATTTGTGAGCTGGAGGACAGATGGGGGGCTTCATGATAAGAGACCTTGAACAGGCCCTGACAGGAATCCAATTAAAACATGAAACCCCTGGTGGACTACGGGCTAAGTCTCAGTGCTATCACCCTGTGCCTGAGTTCAATCCCCGGCCAGGGAGCTACCCACATGGCGCAGCAGACCTCTCCTGTCTTGCCCAATGCTCCCCTCAGCAGTGGGTTTCAGTAGATCTAACTGTTCTGTTCCCCATTCGTCTCTGGTGAATCCTCTCCCCAACTTCTGGCCTGCACCCCAATTCTTCTACACGAAATACAGAGGGGAAAAAAAAACATGAAAGCAATTCAGGGAAAGCCTGAGCAGACTGTGAAATGTGGGGATCAACACGAGGATGTGAGTCAGTAGCCTGGCACAGAATAACCCGTTTTCTGGGAAACAGCAATAAATGCTGGGCACCCCATCCCCACAGGGCATACTGAACAGAGGCTCAGAAACTGGGGAGAAATGCATCAAAGTTACAGGTATCTCTTTAATGCTGGGGCTGCTGGAGCACAGAGGGCTACTCTGCGGTCTCCTTCCACCGAGTAGGAGCTCATCTTAGGAAGAAGTCTTTTTTTTTTTTTTTGACATAACAGGGATTTTATTCATTTGCCAAATGAATACATGAGGATATTAATCCCCTTGGCCAGACTCCACCCCCTTACCAGAAGATACTCATTTTGTAATCGTTTTATGCATATTCTATTGATTTTGCAGTACCTTTCTTAGGAAAATGAAGTCAACTAAATGACCATTACTTTACATATGTTAGGACCCTTTTTCCACTGAAAAGCTTAGTGCACCTTGAGACACAAGTGTAATAGGGCCTGAATGCAAAGTGAGTAGTCTGGCCCTGGTCTTCCCAGGGTGCCTGGATCAGCAGAACAGAGGACCTGCTAACAAATCTCGAAGTTTCTACACAGTGGAACTCAGAACTAGAACATCCCATCCACCTGTGAGAATTCTCAACCAAGGTCATCCCCACCCTCTCTTCTGAAAGCGCCTTGACAGTGAGCACGCCCTTGCTGGTGATCTGCAGGCATCGAAAGAAGTCTACCTTCCTGCAAGTGACTTCACGGCTCCTCTGGGCAAAGCGGAGCGCAGGAGGATCCCAAGCGTGGCGTGACAAAAAGAACAAGTTTTAAAGTCTTGTGTAGAGAGAGCAGTTTTTTCAAATTACTGGTGGCATTTCTTATAAAATTATCCGGGGGCCATAACCAGTGCTGACGGGGGGGGGGGGGGGGGGGGCAGATGCATCACATGCACACAGGGCAAACGATAGTTCATACAACTGCTGCTGCACAAACTGTGTGGACCGCGGAGTGTTCTGAACTGTGGTTCAAATGTGTCTCCCAGTTGGGTCACACATAAAAGGTTTGAAAGTCATTGTTCAGTACCGGAAGAGGGAGAACTGAGGGCAGAGATGGGGCTGCTGCGCTCCCCTCAAAGGGGACCCTTTAAGGTGGTGGGACTGGAGCAGAAGATAAACAGAGGAGGGACTTAAGGATAGAGAAGTAGGGCTGGCAAGCCAAAGAAAGCTCTATTTATCACACCCAGATTATCGGGGGAGGGGAAGGCAGCCATAACCGCAAACGGGCGAGATGTGGAGAAGCTGGTCCAGGGTGCTGCGGGGGAGGCGGCAGGCACAACGAGGCCGAGGCGTACTTGGTTTCCTCAAGAGACACAGGATATCCATGTGGAACTGCGCACCACCACCTCAAAACCAGGACCCTAACTTGGCTTTACTCACCTTTTACAATACTGTATTCTCTTCCAGTTAAACAATTTTAAATTTATGCTCTGTCCCCAACCAAGTGGTTATGACTTTTAATAGCACATCATCACACCAAAGAAGCACCCTCACCAGCAAGCGCCGGCTGTTACATTATTTCCCATCCCCAGGGCTTCCTTTGGAGTTAGCATGTGATGGGCAGGTCCGGGGACTGTCATCTGGTGGGCACGGACACTGCGGTGAGTCCAGCGCGGGCTGCAGAGCTCCACCACCACCGCACTCACTACCGGGACAGCGCGGTGCCAAGGGGGTGCGCCAGCTGCCGCACGGCCCTGCGCCCGTCCTGGAAGCTGCACAGTTGGCTCAAGGGCCTGCTGATCCAGCAAGAGCACACACGAGGGAAATGGCAACACTCCAACAGATCACTTTATCCCGACCGAATCCCCAACGTACATCAAAATAGACATAATTAAGCGAAGCAGCATGGACCTAAAGGTAAAATGTCATCCCCACCAGGCCCGTGATGAAGGAGTTCTGCTTTACAGAAGCCTTTTATGAAGTAAATTACATTAATTACCGACATTTAAAAACATCCAACATTTAAGGGTTCTGGATTTCTGATTTATTAGACCGCACGGAAATAACAGGTTTAGGTTATTTTACAAAAAGAGCTCAAGCTGCTCAAAAACAGCCCTGGGCTTGCTGCGGGGTGAAAACCACCCCCAGGCCCCTGCACCGGACACAGGCTCCTCATCTTACAGAGCTGGTATGAAAGGGCGCACAGACAAGTTTTTTGTAAGAAAAAAAAAAAAACAAAAAGAAATGCACATACTAAAGAACGTGTCCACAGTGACTACAGTAGATCCCTTAAGGGACAGCATGTATTTGTGGGAAGCAACACAAAGCTTTCCAGAGAGAAACCACTTGCACGAGACGATTAGGTGGACCTGCAATGAAGAAAACACATTTCAAAAGATGGGTTCAGACTTATGCTAAGTTTTCAGGGAAATACTTAAAAACTGAAAAGAACTTCGTCTGTCAACACAAATTTTAAAAAATACAGCATGGATAAAGTTAATTTCAGTAAAGTTGCAAATCTGATTCAGAGACGTACATTTGCAAATGATATAAAAAAAAGTTTGACAACAAAAATACTCCTTGAAGCGACCTACAACAGGCCAAGCTAAGTTCGTGTTTTGCTTTAGGACATTACAGTAAAATGAATCTCATTCTCGCTATAATTTTTTTTCTTTTTAACCTTAATCAGCAGCGGCTGGGCAACTGAAATGGACATGAGAACTATATAAATGTCAGAGAAATATGTAAACCTCATTAATGTTTCCAAAAATTCATTTAGAGATAGAAACAGGTCCAAATAGATGCCTGTCTAAATGTACTGCAATTACGTTACAATTATTTTTCCAAATACACAGATATGCTCTGTCTTTTCTCAGCTCATTACTGACTCAAACAATTTGCCCTTCTGGGATCAATTGTTTGCTAATAAATAATTGTTTACAGTCTCAAAATGATGTTAGGAGGTTTTCTTATTAGTTTTCCTTCTGCACCCTAATAAGATTGAAAACTAGCTGATTCCCAAGAGTCTAACCTTAACCTCGCTTTGTTTAACAGCCCAGGAAATGATGAACCATCTGCTTCAGAAAATAATGGACGGCCGAGAGGAAATATTGTTTAATTGTAGATTAACCTCCTCATGAGGCAGTCTGAAGCAGCTTTAGAATTAGCAACTATGACCAGCAAAAGAAACAAATGGCTCAAGAGCCTTTTCCTCTACCATTTAAGGTCCAGAAAGAATGCAAAGGGGTTTTTTATTACCTATATTTATTTCCAAACATTTATTTCTACAGTGGAAACAAAAATAAGGTCAAAACTGACTCTCAAAAGTGCAGTCACTGCCCTCCAATTTTGTTTGCCCGAATACCTTTAATGCAGCAACCATCAAATCATCTCATGCACTTAAGGGGCTCATTGCAAAAAAAAAAAAAAAAAACAACAAAAACCTCTTTTCCATTATTTTCAGGTTCTTATGATATTAAAATTAATATTTTCCCCTGGCTTCTTTAATAGTAATAAATCCACCATTGGGGAGTAGGAAGTTTTATTATCATCAACATGGCAGGCACTTAAGTACATGAAATCTTGTCAAGTACCTGGTGACCTACAAGTTCAAAAGAAAAAAGAACAGCATGAGATCAAAATGGCTGGTCAGGACAAGGCTACAAAAATGAGGGATTAAATGCAAACACAGGACTTTATGCAACAGGCTTCCCGTGTGAAGTCGTCTCTGAAGTCAAACCGCGTGAGTGCCCCTTCTCAGGGACACAACCAACTCAGCAACCAATTCAGGAAAAGACAGGAACCCTAAAACCATTCAGTTGTTCCGTAAATATTTATTGAGAACTTCCTTCAAGGGCCTGGGTAGGAAGGGCCAAGGAACACAGCAAGACAAAGACACCTGGGGTAGGTTCAACGAAGCTCTCCCTCACGTGTGGTGTAATTAAGTAAAGACCCTGGTGCTGCTGGTACCAAAAAAGTGTCAACAGTTACAACTAAGAGCCAAAGACATCTGAGAAAATTTCAAAACTAAGGAATGTGCTATTCCAGGCAAGGCCAGGTAACTTTGGGTTTCCTTCCAATAAGACCTGAAGGTCATTCACTTTGTGTAAATATGAAAGAAACAACCTCTTTGGAGAGGATAGATTTTTGGCTGTTCAAATTCTTAAATATCTTAAATAGATTTTGCTAAAATAAATTATTCTTGAATTCCTCAACTTAATTTTGAAGCAATGAGCTAGTAATAACTCCAGAGATTCAAATAATAGTGCCTATTCAAGAAGAATGAGAGTTTGACATTCTTCTCTACAAAACAACTAGGCACAATTTTATCCATCAGACGTCTATCAACCTACGGATATTGAAAGCTTGGGAGAACAAGATAAAATCAACTCCAACCCTACAGTCAGCTGTAATATCGAGCAGGCATCAACAATGCTATTCATGAATTTAGAAAAATTAATAAATCCTGGGTTGAATGCAAGAAAAGGCTCAAATACAGGTGAAGCATACTCACTTGGGTTTTGTTTCTGCATCTGTCACTTGGCGAATGAAGATACCATCTTCAGGGTGTTCTGTGTCATCCATTTCATACATATATGATGATGCTATTGCAAGCGTAGTCCCATCATTACTGAAGGCAAGGGAAGCAATGCTGGTGGGGTACCGGTGGAACTGGCACAGTCGCTTTTTGTTAAATGGATCCCAAATATTTACAAATCCATCAGAACCACCTGCACGGAATTTCAAGAGTCAATGTGGCTCTTTAAAGCAGAACAGAAGTAAGCATTGTCTTAACAGTTCTTACAGTCACAGAAGCTAATTTTCACCAAGGAATATTATATTATACCAGATTTCCTCCCCTAAATATAATAACATGCAAGCACAATTTAAAAAACGCTTAAGTATAAATGCTTAGTGTCCGGTAATAGCAAAGTTGTATCATCCTAAAAATCACACACAGGCTAACACGCCATATTTACCTGTGGCAAATGTATTGTGTATGTTGTGAAAGGAAATGGCATTGACAGGGTAAATCTGCTCAATATTATTTTCTTTCAGCCGGTGGCACTTAAAGGCATACTTCTTCTTCTGCACCTCAGGGCTGGGGTCCAAGTACTCAACTGCCACTCGGCCTTCAATGGAACTCAAGACATAACCCTGCCAGAAGGGAGCAGGAGGACAATACAGTAAATCCAGTCTCCAAAACAAGGCATCAATCCCAAAATTCAACCTGCACTCAAGAAAGATGATTATTTCCGAAATGAAAAGTCAGAGTTGAACAGTGTTGAAGATGTGCTAACACAATTATGACATTCCAAAAGCTTAACAATATCTATTTTATAAAAAGAAAAACAAGGCTATCATTGCTTGCTTCTTCACTGTACCATGTGATTTGCACAAAAACATCTAGTTATTTTCTAAAGTCTAAACAAGAATGTTAAAGTGTTTCATTATCTTTTATCTGGCTGTTCTGTCCAGAAGGGACTCAAATTTGTTCCAGCGGTAGGAACCGGTTTTCTCTGCTCTACATGTCTTCACCTCTAACAAGTCTAAGGATTAAATTTCCCTCACTGAGTCTCAGTAACCGAAATCAACCAAATTCTCCCTCTTGCAATTCACCCACAGCAAGTCAAGTTTGCACACAACAGATTTTTCAGCAATGTTCAAAAGTGGTTTACAATTTCCTCAGCTTTCCCTGAAATGACGTCAGGGAAAAGAAGATAAATATACAATCTATATTTTATCTTTTACTTATTCAAGGTATAAAAAAGTTACTACTAAAAACCTATGTCTAGTGCAAGAAAGGTCATAAAATATTACTTTCCAATGAAATGGAAGCTTACAAACCAGAAATACTGACAGAAAACTTTAGACATAAAGACATGAAAATATTTCTCAATGCACACACATTTTAATCATGTATTTAAATCGCCAAAGTTACACATATCTGCAATTTCTTATCTTCAGTGGATATTTACAATTTCCTGTGAAAAGAACTGTGATTTGAGGTACTAGCCTTTTGAGATAAAAGATCAATAACTGACATAATTGCTTCAAGCTCCACAACCACTAAAGGACAACCAGTTGTTAGATTCCAAAGAGATCTGCTGACTTCCCCCCAAACTTCAAGGACACAGGAGGAGTAGGGCCTCACTAAGAAACAGTGATCTCATTTAGCAAGATGATGGCAGGTGGATGGCCCCGCACGTCACAGTCGGTCATTATTTGACAGACGCCACCTCTTTACCACCAGCAGCAATTTTTTTTTTTTTAATTCGAGTTATGCTGTCAGATTGGAAAAGAACAGCATTAGTATGAGGGCTACAAAGAGACAAGAAGGAACTGCAAAACCCATAACCCTAAATTTCCATAGTTAATTGTGAAGTCACTGTTTGACTGAAATATCTGAAAAATTCCCTGATCACTGAATACCTGTCAAGCATCTTGGACTAGGATCAAGAGGGAATCAGAGGCCTCAAGTCAAACCACTGGCAGATGGCTTAACTTCTCTGAACATCAGGTCTTCTCTAAAATCAGATTAACACACTACCTTTTCACACAAAGCTGTTAAAAATACACTTAACAGCAAATTCCACAAATCACCACTCAAAACTAAGATGCAAAGCTTAAAAGGCAGTGACCAAACCATCGGGGAAGAGCAAGAGGGAGACCAGCACCTGTTTGTTGGGAAAGGCGCGGATGCAGCGGGTCTGGTACTTGAGGCTGGACTCGCGGCGCTGCTGCACGTAGCCCATGTTCCGAAGGTCCCACACCAGCACTCTGCGGCCTGCCGTGCCCACAATCAGCCGGTCCCCCGACACCGACAGGGTGTAGACCTTTCAAGACAGAACAAAACTTGCTAAAATGCATCAACTTGCTTGGAAACAGCATTTTACCCCAGAACAAAGTACACACCATAAACATTTTAGCTCATCAGGTTCCCAAACACAGGTACCGAATTCTAATCATTCTCTACTTAAACCAAGTAGTTCTCACAAAAGAATAAATTCAGCATATTCTTAATACTTAACCAAGCATCATATAATGTACGTTCTAGTTAATTCTGCAAAAAACTTTTGAACATTTAATTCTCTTTTTTTTTTTTTTTTAATAGAGGCATGTTTTATTTATTTATTTGTTTGTTTTTGTTTATACATGCACTGGGTACAGTCAGAAGCACGGGAGGGTGAGAGAATTCACCAGAGCCAGAGCGGGGAGCAGAGCAGGCAGAAGGACCGAAGTACACTGCTGAGGGGAGCAGCGGGCGGCAGGAGAGGTCTGCGCGCCATGTGGGACCCTCCTCAGGTGGCCGGGGAGCAGCCGGGGATCGAACCGGTGCCTCCGAGGTCGCGGGCAGCTTCGCAACCCAGCGCTCAACCGCTGCGCCACCGGGGAGGCCCTTTAATTCTCTTTACTAAACTATTAAGCAATTTCTCCAGGCTTCTCCTTTCACTCAGAGACAATCTGAAAGTGTATAAAATACTCAAAAAAGAAAAGAATATAGCCATAAAACACAATAAGCCACAAAACAATACCTTCCAATGGGTTTTTCATAAAACAATCCTTTTTTCAAAGTCATTTTTCTATGATCATCTTTTGGAAGGTTTCATGTTGTGAATCGAAAAATCTTGACTTTCCCAGGCGCCACACTGAATGAACAGGTCTTTCCAGGAAGAGTGTGGCAGCCATCAGTAATTAGCGACTTAGCTGCTTTTGGTGACATAGGAACTCAAAATTAAAAGACAAGGACAGTGGTCTGGATTTGACAAACTCTTGTGCCTGATGTCATACCAAATACTCAAGACAGAGTTCGTCTTCAAGGAAAATTTAAAAAGCATATTTATTCTCCCTTCCTAAAAGCACCTATATGTTTCCTTCATAATCTCTTCTTCAATTTGAAACAGCTTCTACCCCCCCCCAAAAAAAAAAATTCCTTCATAAGAAGTCACAGAAACTTCGCACAAGCAAGTATGTGAAGTGGTTTATGTTCAAATATGGTATTTGGGGAACAAAATAACAAATCATAAAAATGGCGGCAAAATGTATCTTCCTCATCCTGTTAAATCATTTTTTTAAATCTAGCTTCAGATACGTAACTTCTTTGATTATTTCTTTCAATTAATAAGCAACTCTAATTAAATCTGACTTAGTATTTTAAAACCTGAAGAATCACTATAAAAAATGAAGATGATGTGGTAAGAGAGCTCATAAAAATTCACTAATTAAACCCCATGGTTAGTAATCACCAATAAGTTAACTACAAATCCTCTCCCTAACAGCTGAAAAACCCAAGTTAGATTTAACAATGTAATGACCCAAAGTCTCAACAATCAGGCCTTAAAATTTACAACCATTTGACGAAGGGAAAAAATAAAGAATTAAAAAAGATTCAAAACAATAGATTTACTATAAGCTCGTTTTAACAGAATACAGGATCTTAACCATAGCTTATTCAGAAAACAAAATGTTAGCAGAAAAATGGAAATTAACCTAAGACATATGAAGCATCAAACTTAAAAAATACAGAGGCCAGAAAGAGATCGATTTATAATAGTACAATCGGATTGGGAATTTTGTCTTAAATCTTTACTATACAGGTGACACACAAGCTTCTAATAGCGCTTTCTATCCCTACTGATCGTAAATCAAGTGAAACCACTGTCATGCTACTGACTGGGTATATACATTTATCAAAGAAAGTATTAAAAAAAGTGACATAATGAACCTTGCTGAACCAATAAGCAGCTTGATTCAGTGTGGCTGTCCATTATATGATATTCTGCCAGCAATTTATCACAGTTCTTAACATGTTACATACAACCATAAATCAAAACTAGAAACAATGCAATTATTTTATTCTGAACAAAGGTCTTGCCAGGAGTAGATTCAACTGTGATGTGACAAAAATAATGGCTCTTTGGATGCACTACAGTATATAATGATGGCTAACAGGAACTGAATAGTATATTTACACTGAGGAAATAGACTCAAGTGAAGGATTCCTTTAACCTGCTAAAACAATCAATCTTTAAAATTAACTACCACCTGATAAAGTCTGATGAGGACACAGCAAGAATGCTCAATTACACTTCATTGTACAGATCAAAAGGTTAGAATAATACATGAAGGTTCCTTTTTAAGTAGCTTCATTCACTAGAGCTTGCAAACTACATCTGTCAGTATTTAAAAAATAAATAAAGTGGTGCAAAGTCAGGGAATGTGAAATAACCCACAGCTCCTCTTTTTAACCGTCAACTCAAATGAGACCTTAGGTCCCGAGTAAAGACAAGTGATGCTCCACCCCACTTTCTGGTTTGGGCACATCAAACTCAATCTGAGGTAAGCAGTCTTTACTAGACGACTTCTCTAAAAGGTAGTGCGTTGCCTCTCAGCCCTGCGATTTACAGTATTGACAATGCAGGAAGTGGGCTTATTTGAACCAGTGCTCCTCAGTACAGAGACAAATGAGAGAAAAAAAAGCTGACCCCAATGCCAATTAATTTTCCTTTTCATCAAAATATTTCTATGCAGTTAGATTTGTAAAACAGACTCGTCAACTCTTAACCTCTAAATTCACCATATTCATCAAACATGTATCAAGTCCAATTACCCCCAGGCCCATAATTCCTGTCAAATATATAGAGAGCCTACCTTTTCAGGCTGAGAGAAGGTTCCAGCATTACATGGAGTTCTGGGGTCCCACAATTTAACTGTCTGATCCCAACTCCCAGTAACCATCACATTCACTTCTGGGCAGTATTCAACACATCTGATAGGGGCATCGTGTGTTCCAACAAGATTTTCTACAGGAAAAAGTAAACAAAAACCCTGCTTTACAAGCTCTACTGAGCAGAGATTCCACAAAGAACAATGGAAGGAAACATTCATTCAGCTGTAATGAATCTGCCTCCACCAACTCTCCGGAAATGTCTGCATAAAGAAAAATTCCTCGACGTCCACAAGAAATCATCCACCTCCTCCTCTGTTTACCTCACAGAGCCGAGTTTGATCCACTGGTCTGACACATATCAAAAGCGGACTGGAATTTCAGATTACATTTAATTTATGGCATAACTGTTATTTTCCTCACTTGACTGCAGACTCCTTATTTAACTCTATAGTTCTGACTGTATCTTGTGCATGTTCTGACACCTGGTAGGTGCTTGGAAAAATACCTGCTGTGGTAACAAATGCTTGCAAGAAACTCTTTCAAGTGGTAACAGAATTATCTAAGAGCAGAATTATCTGAGAGCAGAGGAGAAGGAAGGCAGTGTTACAAGTAACCCACATGGCTTTCATAGGGCTCAAATTCCCAATACACAATTTCTTTCCTTTCAGTGTCAACTTTTCACATTATGTCATTCATTCATTCATTCAACATCCATTATGTCTACTAAATGTCTACTCTGTGCCAGAATCTACGCCACAAGCTAAGAACACAACAAAGAACAATATATGGTCCTGACCCTCAAACAGGAAAAACTACCTGTTTAAAAAGGTATCATTTATACAAGAAAGAAAATTACCCCATGAAGTTGAGCAATGATCTGTGAAGAATAACCAGCTAATTGTCTTATTTAGGGTCTTGAGTATTAAATATCTGTTTCTCAGCATTTTTTCCCTAAGTTTCAGAACAAAAGACCCTAAACCTAAAAGTTCACTTACTGTGGAATAAACTGTTATCAAGCAAAATCAAACACCTGCAGGTATAAGTGCTTTTCATTCAAAAGCCTTGTCTGATTGGCTGCGGACTTCTTTTGACAAAACATTGTGCCTATCCGTTTATTGCCCAACTCATTCTTGATATCCAGTCATATCCCCCCCATGCATATCCCCCCCAAAAAAGAGCTCTTCTAGAGAGCTTTGTGTATTTGGGTTCCAGTCCAATCTCTGCTGGAAAATAAATATTAAAATTTGGATAAATCATATGTAGGCCTCTAAGAAATCAAATGTGTCCCCTTGTTATCTATTCAATAAATGCAACTAAAGCATGTTCTATACTAAATACACAAGCTGGATTAGCCATTAGATTTTTAAAAACACATCTTCCTTCAGTATAAACCAAATCAGCTTCTAAAAGCAACCTCCGAAAATTCACTGGAAAATCCTAAAGAAAACTACCAAGATCCAGGCTATCTCTGAGGGCCACATAAAAGCCAAATACTTACCTGCCACTTCATGTGAACATTTGGGATAGAGCTCACCCTACACTTTACTGGAAAAAGCACATACACAGTGATCTGTGATCAGAAACAGCATTCGGTAATCATTTCAACAAACAAGTCCTAAATTCAAGCCACTTCTATTTGTATCTAAGCAGCTCAGCAACTAGGCAGTTCAGGAACTATTCTTCCTACATTATCGTTATTCTCTACTCCACTAGCTGAGAAACTGGTTAAAAAAAGAAAAATACAATTATATTACCTTGATCAGTGTTCAAATCATGCATTTTCAGTTGATGGTCTAATCCACCACTCCAGGCATGGGTTGGATCCTACAAAATAAAGTTGCGAAGCATTTAAAACTTAGAGAGCTTTACAAAGTTTCTCCAAATTCCTGACTCTACAGTCAACTGGTCACTTTATGCTCCTGATGATCTACGCCAGCACTGGGCTCTGCTATTCATGGTAAACAAACAAAAACCAGCCCAAGAAAAGGCACGCGAGTGGTCAAGGGCTGAGAGTCAACAGGCATCCCTATTGACTAGTAAACAGGTGCTCCTTCCAATAAGTTAGCCAAATGCTACTGCAGCGTTGCAAATTTCAAGCAGAACTGACGTGCGTGCAGAAAGTTTGCAGGGTTACTCCATGAGAACCCCTTTGAAAAAAGGAGACCGAGTTTCCTACGTTTGCAAGTGTGCAAGACCAAAAGCAAAGGAGCAATAGCAAGTATCTGCAGGGGAAGCTAGAGCTGCCTCCAAATGCCTTCCCGGACAGAAGCCTGGCCCCAGTAGTGGCAGGGGGTGCTATTAACAAGGGGCGCCGGAGCAGAAGCAGCGGCGGGGGCGCGGGCACCCACGTAGAAGGCGCAGTCCAGCACGGCGCCGGTGTGCTGGTACTTGAGGCGCATGGAGTTGGCCGGCACATCGTAGAGGCGCACGGACGTGTCCCACGAAGACACCAGCAGGAACTGGGAGGTGTTGGGGCTGAACTTCACCGAGGAGATGCCGTCCTCGGGCGGCTGGTTCAGCTTGAACTCGTTGGAACCGGTCATCTACGGAACAGGCGCCCCGAGTCCCTCCGGGTCACAGGCCGGGGTGCCCGACCCGACCCCCCACGCGGGCAGGACCCAGACAAAGTCCGCGGCGGGGCCTCTGCGCGTGCGCACAGCCCGCGCGCCCCCACGGCGGGACTCGCCCCCCGAGAGTCCCCCGGGCGCCCCGAGCGGCCCGGCCCGCGCCGCCGCCGCCCCAACTCCCGTCCCCAGCCGGGCCCGCCGCGCCCCGGGCCCCCCGCCGCGTCCCGGGCCCCCGAAAACAACGCGTCAGAAACGAGACGGGCTCCCTGGAGAGGGCGCCGCCGACTCGGGCCCCGGGAGCCCCGAAGGCCGCCGCGCGCCCCCCGCCTCGCCCCGTTACCTCGGGGTCCCCTCAAAAGCAACTTCGCCGCCGCTCGCCGCGCCCAGCCTCGCTCGCGGGCAGCACGGGAGGCGGAGAGGAAGCTCCGGCCGGCGCCTGCCTTTGGCTGATTTCAAACGCCAACGTCTCGCCCCCGGCAGCCGATTGGCCCGCGCGGCCCGGGCCCCGCCATCCAGTTCCGGCGCAAAGGCGAGTCGCGGCGTTCCGGTCACGTGGTCGCGCGTCACCAGAAGGCCGCGGCGCCCGCGCGCTCGGCGGAGGTGGAAACTACGACTCCCAAGAAGCATTGCGCCAAGACTGCGCTCACGCCCTCTCCCGCCCTCGTGCAGCACTCTGGGAGATGTAGTCTCGCTGGGGCGGACGCCCTGCCTGGGCTCTGCTAGCAAGGGGGAGAGGTGCTCTGTGCAGTTCCACCCCTGGCGCCCGCCCCATCTCGGCTGATTTCTCAGCTACAGGAACCCCGTTTTGCTCAATGCTTCTATACAGTTTAATTTACTCCCTTCCACTGAGATAAATTACTCTCCCTTTTACTGGACGTGCATATTCCCATAAAGTTAATCACAAATTATGGTAAAGAAGGAAATACTTGCTCTAATAAATTGCATTATTTTGCCCTCATTATTTTCTCATTTTCCTAAAGTATCCATCTATGACCTGCATTTCATTTTTTTAAGATTTACTGATTTCATAGACACTCACCTTTGTTTATACTATGCTTTATCTCTCTAGTCCGTCTTCTCACAAATGTTTCTGGAGCGCACACCGTGTGCCAGGCCTGGTGAGAGATGCCCAGAAGATGAATGAAGCAGACTAGTCCTTACTCTCAAGAAATTTCCTCTCCAGAATGGAGGCCAGACTGTGAAACAATTCATCACAATGTGTTAGAGCTCAATAAATTTCTTTTAGTCGGATGTTTAGGTAAAATCCTAAAATGACAGCCTCAGCTTCCCCTCGCCCACCCCCAGGCCAACAACTTCCAAGAGTTGCAGGCACAGTTTATTCATCTTCTGTTGGCAGAATCCTACAGAAAAAGAAGAACTGGTTTAACCACCATGAAATAAAATAGGTTAGAAATTAAATCTGGGATTCGGATACTCTCAAAAATTCTAATTTTATACATGCTCTCACTGCTTTTTCACTTACTTTTGTGGAAAAGAATCGCATGTGAATTTGTATGAAATGAGGGGAAATTGTTGGGATTATTTAACTTTAAAGGTGCATTAATTGGAGACAGTTTGGCTGGTCTGCATGCTATCACGTTCATTCACTCATTGGGGTACTCTTATTTTTATGGCTCTCAGCACAGTAAACACAACCCCCTTTCTGCCCAATGCATTGATGATATTACTGTTAAACGAGCAGATTCTTGCCCACCAGCCTCACCAGTCCTCATCCATCCCCTCTCTTCCCATAAGCTAAGGGCCAAGTTCAAGATTTCAAAATACAATGCTTTGCCTCCATTCTAAGTTTGGCTAAATAATTTTATCTCCAAATAATTTTATTTGGTTCCTTCTTCCAGTTGTTTGTTTAATTCTATTCGTGTTTTGAGATTCTGAGCATGAATTACCCACTAATAAAATCTAAGTGTATTTCATTATCCAGTGTGCGTATGATCCAGGTCCTCTGGGCATGCAGTTGCAGCCGGACTCCATTTGAGTTTTAAGAAACGTCAATCTTTTAAATTCAGTTTAGAGCCTGAAAGGAGGCTGATTTTGCTGATTATTCAAATGAATTGATAGTCTTGAGGAAATCTGGCAACAATGGAGTCTGAACAACATTTTAAATCCAAATGCAAAGTTGTGCGTGTGTGTGCTTAGTCACCTGTAAGAGGGAGGAATTCCTAGACACTCGTTAGGTCAACTTTGCTAATTTCTGGATTATTAAAAAGGGTGAACTATCCCCTCCGTGACAAACTGGAAAGGGTGTCCAGTAATTTTAAGGGCAAAATTACTCTGCCATTCAGTGCATACAGTGCATAGAGGAAACCATTGCCCGTAAGGGAAGCAAAAATAAGGAGAATATAGTCCCTCAATACTTTTAAAGTCATCATCACTTGAAAAACCCCAAAACTACTGAAATGCAGAGCAAAAGGATATGGATGGAGTGTTCCTACCTATAAAAGTGGCTCCTTGGAAACAATCCAGATACTTCTGCATGGAATATTCAAATAGTGACTTTAGCAGAAGAGAAAAGTTTAAGTGGGTCATTCTGGCAAGAGAAAGCGTCATTGAAATAAATTATGTGTACCAAATAAATCAGAAGAAAACGGATCGCGTGTCACTCCTCTCTCTGACAATATTTTGCATAGCTCTGTCAGAAAGCACTAGGGCCCAGGGAATAGTTACTGAACTCAGTAGAAATGAAATAAAGGCAATTGAACCAACTGTGTATGACGTCACCTTGAAATAGTTGTGATTTTTATAAAATCTACTGTGAGAAGGAAAAAAAATCCTCAAAATGGACAAGCGCCCAGGCACTTTAGACAGAAGGCTGGGGGTATAAGAGGCTTACAGAGAGCCCCTGTAAGTCCACAAAACGCAGATAGATGCGCTGCCTTTCAGCTCAGGGAAAACCAGAGACAAGTCTGTCGCGCAAACGCTTTCCTTCCAGAGGATGAGCTCGGGCCTCTGCGCAGCGGGCTCGGCGCGCCTTTGCTCTGGCGAAGCTGGGCCCCTGGGCGAGGCTGGAGCCTCGGGGCGCTCGCCCACGTGACGCCCGACCCTTGGCTCCTCCGAGCTCAAGCTTTCTTTTCCGACGTATTTCGAGGAACAGGTGGCCGCGAGCTCGCGCCGCCGGCGCCCACGAGTGAAAGCCTCCTTCCTTTGGCGAGTGCCAAACGACCAGTGCCACGCCCTCCCAGCCCCGGGGGTGGGGGGCGGCGGCAGGGATTGGGGCGCTGAAGCCCGTGGGCCCCCAACCGCGCGCCCTGGGTTTACCCAGCTGGAGCGGCCCGCCGGGGATCCTGCCATTTTGCCAAGCGCCATGCAAGCCATAACCAGCAACAAAAGAGAGAACGTAGGGCTGCCTTTGCCCGCCGCTCTTTCCTCGCCCGGGCCTGGCCTCAGATCCCTGCTCAGCCGAAGTGTCCCCTTCCTGCGCCGCGCGGGGCACGCACCGGGCCCCGCGCCCCAGGACGGCGCGCCGCGGCCCGGCTGTCGGGCCTGGATGCGGGAGCGTAGGGAGGGCGGCTCACCTGGCCCGGGGCCGCGCCGCCCCACCTGCGCCAGCGGAGCGCGGGCGGCCGCCCAGATGGAGTCGCGCCGCCCGCGCCCTGCCGAGGCCCAGCCCGGGGCGCTCTGGGTTCTGGGAAGATGCGCGGGGCGCGCGGCCAAGGCGGCTGCCCCCGGCTCCCCGCCCTGCGCTCCTCGGAGCGGGCTCGGAAGCCGCGCGCCTGCCGGGAAGGGGCGCCGGGCGCGGTCCTGGCCCGCATCCAGGCTTTGGGTACCAGGGGGAGCCAGCGGGTGCGGCTCGGGCCCACGTGCCGTCTTGGCGGCGCCGAAGTCCAGACCTTTAACCCCTGACCCCGGCCCCCCCTCCGAGTGGGCTGCGCCTGACTCCGCCCGGGCTCGGCCGCGCCTCTGCCCGCAGGAACAACGAGAAAACCGTCGACGAGCGACCACGGCGCGCGCGCGAGCCCAGCAAGTTAGCAACGGTGCTTAAAATGTTTTATTTTTTTCTCTTTAAAAATATTTACAGGCCTGAACTCTCACCCCTTTCGGCCCTACCCATCCTCAGGACGAGGGCAGCGAAAGAGGCCTGGAGGTCACTGTCCCAAGCGCCCAGGGCCGGCCGGGCCGGCGCTGCGCGTGTCCATATACACAGGCGCGCGCGGGGAGCGGGGGCGCGGGCCGGGGCGTGTTCTCTCCCCCCGCGTGGACCTGCCCGAAACCCCCGTCCCGCGGCCACTCCAGAGCGGCCCCCCAGGAGTGGTTTCCGGCGCTCTGGGTCGGTGGAGGGGGGAAGCCGACCCCCTGCCTCGGGGAAGGCCCCGCAGCCCCGAAACGCGCACGACCCAGCGTGGGGCCGAGGCCATAAATAAGAGCTAACGAATACACACGGTGTATTCCTCCCTGGCGCGCGGCCGGGCCGGGCGGGTCAGTAGTCGAGCTTGTTGTAGAGGTTGTAGAGCGGTAAGGCCGAGAGGTTGCCGCCCGGGTAGTAGAGCGGCGCGGGGAAGGCGAGCGAGCGCGGCACCGGCACGCGCAGCAGCGAGCTGTCCCGGAACACCAGCGGCATCCCCACCAGAGTCTGCGCCGACGCGTGGGCCATGTTGGCCGCCTCCAGCTCGGCCGAGAGCTGCCGCTTCCACTTGTTGCGGCGGTTCTGGAACCAAGTCTTGACCTGGGTCTCGGTGAGCTGCAGGCTGGAGGCCAGGCAGGCGCGCTCCGAGCTGCTCAGGTAGCGCTTCATGTCGAAGGTGGACTCGAGCTGGTACACCTGGCTGCGCGAGAACACCGTGCGCGTCTTCTTCTTGGCGGCGCCCGCCTGCCGCTCCGCGCCGCCGTCCCGCGGCCGCTCGGGCCCGGGCGACGGCGACCCCGCGGGCAGGAGCCGCTCTTTCTCCTCCTTAAAGTCCGGGTGGGAAGGAGAGAGGAAAGGTGTGCGCTCCGAGGTCGCCGGCCCCGCGCCTCCGCTGCCCTTGGGGGTGCCTGGGGAGCGAGAACAAACGGGCCCTGGAGTGAGGGAGCCTCGGAGACACCCCCGCGCGCACCCGCTCACTTGGGGGGTGGCAGGCGCCTGCTGCTCGGGCGCCTCCTCCCTGGGTCTAGCCCCTCTCCCGCGGCGGGCACCCAGAGCGCAGACCCAGGCCCTTGAAAAGCAACAGGAGAGGGACCTGGCTGCAGGCTGGGGGGTCTGCGCTCCCGGATTGCTGGAAGGGCAGGTGGCAGGGGGAGGCGGTCTTGAGGGGGCGCATTTACCACTGGGAACGCCGAGGTTGCCTGGGAAGAGCTAAGCTGGACCAGCTCCCCGGGCACCCCAGGGCGGGCTCGTGCCACAGGCCGTTTGTTCTGCAAATGCTAAGGACTAACGCGGGGCTCGCCGCCCTCAGACGCTGCAAAGGGGAACCCTCTGCGCAAGGCACCGTTGCCAGCCACCCTGGAGTGCTAATCACTCGTTGGAGCAGGAGGATGCGGGGCAGGGAGCAGGGGGAGGAGGGAGAGAAAGAAAGGGAAATGAGACGCAGACCTCGCGGCGAGGACAGACCCTTCCTCGCCCAGACCGCGAGTCCGGAAAGCGTCTGCCGGGCAAGCCGGGCGTGGAGGGCGGGCCCGTGCGCGCCGACCCGCGTCCAGCAACCCGCCGCGAGGCGCCCTCCCCAGCCCAGCCACCCGCAAGGCCGCGCCGCGCCCAGTCGGCGTCCCGGGTCCCCGCCCCGGCGCCCGCGCGCCCTCGCCTTCCCGCCCTGCGGCCGCGACCCCGGCGCGAGCAGGCCCTGGCGAGGGCGCCCCGGGCGCAGCGTCCCCACCCCGGCGCGACCGGCGCGCGCGATCCTTACCCAAGCAAGGAAAGGGGATGGGGGGGTGGTGCTTGGGGCCCGGCTCCTTGGGGCCGCGCGGGTCTGGGCAGAAGCAGGCGGGCGCCTTCCAGCCGTCGTCCGGCTCCTCCTCCTCCGAGGACACCGACAGGCTGCGCTTTCTGGCCGGCCAGCCCGCGGGCTCCCGCGGCGCCTCCGAGGGGCCCCCGCCCAGGATGGACTGAATGGTGAAGCTGGAGACGCCGCCGGCCGCCGGACACCCCTTGCCCGCATCTTCCTTGCTGCCCATCCTGGGTTCATAAGAAATCGGAGGAAACCAAGAACTCCCTTTAGAGACGGTCTGGGGGAAGGTGGTGCGGGCAGGCGGGCGGGCGGGGGGAGGGGCGGGCGCCGGGGGGAGGGGGCGGGCGCGGCGTCCCCTCCGCGCGGGGGCCGCGCAGGCACGGGACGGCGGCGCGGGGTCGCTGCCCGCCGGGCTCTGGGTGCGCCCGCCCGGCCCCGGCGCGAGTGCCCCTTCCCTGCCCCCCGGCCCCCCGGTCTCGCGCGGCGCGGAGGTGGCGCGGCCTCATTTGCATAGAGGTTGCCCGGCCGCGGCCAATCGCAGCGCCGCCGAGTGGCCCCGGAAATTTTCAAAAAGCCCAGGCCCGGCAAGCGGCGCCCGCGGGGCCCGAGCGCGCCCGGAGCCCGGCAGCTGCCGCGGGGTCCACCCGGGAGCAGCCAGGGCCGCGGGCCCCGGAGACCTCGGCCGGGGTCCCGGGCTCCTCGGCGGCTCGGCCCGCTCGGGCACAGCCCCCTCGCGGGGAAGGAGCAGCGCGCGGCTGCGAACCCGAGTGTCGCGACGCCTCCCTCCGGCGACGCGTCCTCACACCCGCGGGGGGAGCGCACGGGCTGCTCCGCGAACCTCCCCCGGCCACTCGGCCACTCGGCCTTTCCGGCTCGTACACGCCTGCAGGGCCGACTCCCGCAGGCCGCGGCGCCCCGCGCGGCGAGGGCGAGGGCGCGCGGAGGAGCCAGAAGCGCACGCCTCGCTGCAGACGCCCCCCGCGGGAGCTGAGCTGGGGGCCCCGGAGCAGACACCTCGCGCCCTCCCCAGCCTGCCGCCCTCCACCCCTGTCGAGGGCCCGTGGGGCTGCCGGCCCATGCAGACGCAGAGGGGGCCCTAGACCTTGTTTCCACTGCAAGTTCCAGCATCACCACTTTCACGCTGCCTAGATTTAGAGGAGCGCAGCCCCAGCCAGAGCGTCGCTTCCTGCAGAGAGGAAAACTTCTCACTGCATCTCCCCTTCTCCTGCTTGAGGTTTGCCTCAGGCAGGTATGGAAACACTCCTGGCAGCCTAAAAGCACTAGGAGTCCAGGGCGGGTCGTCTGCAAGCCTTTGCTGAACAGCCCACGACCTGCCCTTCTGTTCCATAAGTGGTTCTGGGGCTCGGGGGGGCAAATATTGGAGGTCACGGAATTGCTACAAAGGAGAGAAGAAAGTGAGGATCAAGACATGGTTTTAGAAGATGGGCGAAGTCCATCCGCATCTCCGACTTTCTGCCTCTAGATTTCCTCGTTCCTAGCATTAGGGGCAGCAATGCTGCCCGTGCAGCAAGAGTGTGAGGCCAAAGCCCCCGACTCCGGACCCCAGCGCAGAGCAGCCACGTGGGTCCCTCCCTTGTGCTTGCGGTCCCCACAGAACCCCGGCTCGCGCTCCCCCTGTCATTCCCAGATCAGCCATTGCAGGATCTATCATCAGTCTGGCGTGCGAAACAGTCCGGGGACAGTTGTCCGCACCCTCTTAGGGGCAGGGAAGGTGAGGCCAGGCCCGCAGGAGCTCAGGCAACCCCATGCCCAGGAGCTGAGGCCTCCAAGAGTGCTTCACCAAGGGATCCAGGAAGCCCTGCCCCCAGGGTGTCCCCCAAATGCAGGCCAGGGGGAGAGGAGAGCCCGGACTCCGTCCCCACAAATGTCCAGACGCTGCGCCGTGACGGTGCAGTTCCTCGCGTGCCCGCGCCGCGCCGGGTTACGGAGTAAAGCGCTTATAATATCATTAGCCGCGGCGAGTGACCGGCTGCAGCCCTCCCCGCGGCGGAGCCTCTCCCTACTTAACTCCTCCAAGGGCTCGTTAATGGGCTAATTGATTAGGAGTCGGAGGCGCAGCCGGGGCAGGGGCGGGCGAGGGGCGGGGGCCGGGGCTGGGCGCCGCAGCCCGGGAGGCCGGCGAGGGGCAGGTGCCGGCCTCCGTCACCGCATTAACCTCTTCAGGGCTCGGCGGCGGGGTCGAGACACATTACAAATGGTCAGCTTTAATCATGGTGTCAGCTCATTAACCCGGAAGGACCCGGCGCTGAAATACAATTTGCGCGTCCGCCCCTGCGCGGCGGCTGCACGGACTCCGGCCGCGTGGCAGCCCTTCCCGCGCGCCTCCGCGGAGCTGGGGAGCGGGCGCAGGTTCTGGACAGAGACCCCCGGACCCCTCACAGCGGCCTCTGCACCTACCGCAGGCCCCCTGGGTGTGCGCGGCCCCGCGGGAGATGAGCCAACCCAGCGCGCAGGGCCGCGAGATGGGGAAGAAAGCGGAGTTGGGCGGGGTGGGGGGTCCTCTTGAGCCCCTGGAAGATAGTGAATACCTGGTGCCAGCAACCCCAAGCACCCCTCGTTCTTCATTTTAATCCTACAACAATCCCGTGGTGCGGATCTGTACCCACAACTTGCAGGACAGGAAACAGGCTCAGAAACAGAAGTGACCACTCCAAGCACACTAAGCAAAATTGAAGCTCAAGTTTGTTCCGCCGCCAATTCCAGGCCCCTGGGAAGGCGATGAGGGCCAGAGCAAAGGCTTGGAGGGAGACTGTGAGGAACCGGCGGGGGCGGATGTGCAGATGGGGTCTAAGGGTCTCTGGGAGTGGGGCTCCGCCAAGGCCCGGGCCTCTGGGGTGGGCTCTCTGGAAGCAGCGCCCGGGCCGGTGAGCGCAGGGCCAGCGGGGCCGACGCGTGCAGCCTGGGTGGAGGCCTTGACTAGGACCCTGCAGCCCAGCGACCGCTGCCCCCACGCTCCGGGCAAGTTCAGGGAGTCAAAGGGGGTCATCCGGCCTCGCGCTCCGCCTGCTCGCTCCCCGCACGGCCGCTGACCTTCTGTTCTTTCTACACGAGCGCGCCACAGCGCAGCCCTGGGCACCCTGCTCCGCCCCGCTCTGCACACCTGCCAGCGCGCACGCACTGAGTCGCATGCACGCATTTGCATAGATGCTCACGCGCTCACATGCGGTCAGCAAACGCTCGCTGAGCTCCGACTAGTGTGCGCGTCAAACATACACAAACACACACGCACGCTCTGCAGGGATGGTGGTGAGCGCGGGGCGCCCGCCAAGAGGTTGCGACCGAGCCCAGGCAGGCCAACGGCTCTGCTCCCCTCCGCGCCCTGGGGTGCTCGCTGGCGGGGTCTCCTGCCCCGGGCGCACCGACAGCGAGCACACCGCAGGGGCTGGAGAGCGAGTCCCGCCCGATCCTCCTGCCACCCATTTGCGCCACGGGGAGGGTCTCCGAGACTCCACCGAGAGCGCAGGCCCAGACGCCCTCTCCGGAACCAGCGCAGCCGCAAAGCCCACTCCCAGGAAACCTCAGTTCCAGGAATCGCCACCCACAGACACCCCGAGCCCGCCCTCCAGTGTGGCCGTCCGTCAGCTCAGCGCCACCCCCCGCCCCACCCACGGGGTCTGGGGTGGCTCCGCCCCTGCCGACCCGGCTCAGCTTCACAGCCGCTCACCCAGAAGATGACCCCGTCTCACCTTGGGGGGTATCCTCCCCAATCCCCCCCCCCCCGAGGAATTAGGCACACCCGGGTTCCAAGGCATGATCAACTTTCCAAGCCTGAAAAGACGCTTAAAGTTTAGGTCTCCAGATGATGCCGCTGCTCGGCATTAAAGCGGCCCAGAGCAAACTTGCCGGGGAGCCTAATAAAAATTGATCCTCTCTGCTCTGCGGCAGTCGGGAAATAGGCTGGCTGAGCCGGGTAATAGTGGAAGAAGGCTCCCTCCGAAATGACAGATGAAGTCATAAACAAGTTTGATCTTGGAATCAAGCTTCGATAAATATTAAACACAGTCTGCCCCCTCCTTGGCGCGCGTGGATTATGATATATGGCGCGTCCAAACTTTAAAATAAGGAAATACCAGAGAAAATGATCTCAATAAATTTTCTAAGTATAAACGTTGATTATGTTTCGATTTTCATTCAAGGGCCTCTGCTGTTCGTTCTTTGGTGCAAATGACATCTTGCAATAGGCTTTTGGGGCAAAGAGCTCCCTATTTGAAAAAGAGAGCCCCAGAGGTGTACAATTTATGTAATCTGCGGCTGGAAAATGAATTGTGTAATTTATTGGAAAACAGAAAGTCATGAAGATTGGATCAGCATAGCCGAGTCCGACACCCCCCCCCCACATCCATCAAGTTCCAATTAACAGCCTAACCAGAGAGCTTTAATGGGTTTCCAATCTAGTGGCCTGATAGACTCATCAATTCCTCTGGGAGAAATTAAGAAAATCGACCGCCCCTTGGCGATGCAGTGTCATTCCTTTCTGCAACTATATGTCAAATTAAAAACACAATTAAAATTTAAACTGTTTCAATCAAAGGGTGCCCTGCAACCTATGTTTCACTTAATAGAACTTTGATGAAAATCTGATGCGTGCACTCCATCACCCAGGGGGGCTTGGGCGGCGAAGGCGCGCAGGAGAGAAGGGGATTCTTTCTATTTCTTTAAGACATTAGCACTCGGGCGAGGCCCGCCAGGTGACGCCGCCTCGCTGCTCCTGGGGATGGGCACAGGGAACTCTCCTGGACTCGCTTTGGCTGGCTCCCTCTCTCCAAACCTCTCCACTCGCGCCACCAGAAGGGGACACTTTGGGAACCCCGGTGACCCAGATTTGGGGCGGTTCCGACCCGAGATGCGTCCCCTGGGGTTACGGCCCAGGGAGGGACCTGGGCCAGCGGGAGGATGCGCGCGGGAGATGTCTCCGGGGAGCACGCAGCCCCCAGCTAGCCCTTGCCTGGCGTCTGCGAAACTGCCTGACACTCTGTGAAGTTTTGCTGGATTCTGGAGGCTCAGGGGTGGAAGAAATCCCAGGCGGATAAATGGACCTCGCAGAGGGTTCGGGCTGCGCGGCGGTCTGAAACCTGATTCCCCAGAAGCAGCCTCTTCCCACCCAATAAGCCTTCAGGATACTTGCGCGGGAGGGGCACACATGGGGGGCCAGTGCAGCCCAAATATCTCTCACGTCCGGCTCCGAGGCACCAGGCAGCGACCCAAACTAAAGACCGCCTAGTTACTTCGCGGTCTCCTCTTTCGTCGCCGCCCCCACCCGGTCCCCACCCGCGCCCCCAAGCTGTTTGTAGGTCGGAGGGTGAACACCGGCCTGCGCGCTCAGGCCCGCGCGCCAGCGCACACGGACGCACGCCCCCAGGCTCTGGCCTCGCGCGCACCCTGAAGCCCGCAGGGCCTGTAGGCGGGGCGGGGTGGCGGGCGCCGAGCGGGCGGGAAGACAGGAGGTGGAGTCTCGCGGGCAGCTTCTGGGGGTCATTTGTAATTGACCGAGAGCCGTGGCCTCTGACCCTGCCTGCTTTACTTGGGACCCCAGCTTGGGCTTTTGTGGGGCTCGTGGTTCTTCTACCTTGACCCTGTGGAGATGACCCAAAAGAGGGGTCTATTTTTAGCCGCTTTTCCCAGGTGAAGTGGGGTGATGCCGGGCACAGGAGCCGTGGCGGTGCCTTGGGGCGCAGGCGGGGATGCCAGAGAGAGATGGAGCAAAATGGAGTCTTGGAGACAGGCGGGCACACCCAGAAATTTACCAGCCTCAAAGGGCCTTTCCAGGGACATCTAAGTGCCCTGTGCACCGAAGAGCAGAAGTAGCAGCCAGTGACCCAGGCCCAGACACCCCCAAACGTGAGACCTCCCCAAAGGTCCATAAGGCCAAGGGCTGGGGTGGCCCTCTGGGCCCCCCCTTTGCTAATCCCCCTCCCCATGTCATCCATACCCTGGCTGGACCACCCTGAATTGGGAGAAGAGAAAGCTAAATCCACCAACCTCCTTGCCGGCCTTTCCTCCCAGCTCTGCCTCCAGCGCGGCTCTGGGGACAGGCAGGAGTGCGCTCTAGGTCTCTGCCGCCTTGGCCTCTGGCTCTAGAGAGCCAGGAGCCTGCCAAGTGGGCGTCCCAGCTCAGAATAAGCGCCCAGTGGCGGGGGGGGGGGGGGGCAGTTTATATCTGTCTTGGTGTTGTTTGATGTACACACACCTGCTCTATTTACTACCAAATAAAAGAAATACATCTGTGTTGCCAAATGCAACAGCTCTCGGTGCGGCTCTGCTCTCCCAGGGCCTGCAGGGCTCGCCGGCGCTCAGAGCGCACCTCTGAGGATCCCAACTCAGAGTGGGGTGTATGAGAACGGGGTCCGCAGTGGGGTGTGGGTGCGCTCCACTAGTTTGTTCTAGGTAGCTTGTGAGGAGGAACTCGGGGCATCCCTGCGGGAAGGATTTCAGGTTTCTGCCGCAGAGGTAGGAGCGCCATCTCGCTCCCTGCCCATCCCTTCCAGCGGAGGCTTCCTAGCTTGCCTTGGTCTGGGGCTGTCCGTGAAAGCCAGCGTCAGGGTCTCCTCCAACAAGGTGTGTCTGACTGTGCGCATTAACATCACTACGATGCTAAACACATTGCTGAGGTGCTGGGAGCCCCTGGAGAAGTCGCGGTTAGGAGATGTAGCTAAAGTGTGTGTGCCTGTGTGTGGTTTGCAGGCGTGTCTGTCTGGGTGGTGCAGAAAGGAATTAACCAAGACGCTTATGTCATTTGCACCAACTTGAAGATTAACTGAGGGTGCGGATAGGTGCCGGCCTGAAGTTAGATGGAGAAGACTGGGTTGCACGATCTGAAGGGAGAGAGCATGAAAGGACAAAATTGGGTGTCAGTTCAGTGTCTGAGGGTAGGAGACACAGCCTGCCCTGTTTTCAGAATTCCCAGAACCACCTCTACTCCCCCAGATCGCCCCCTGTGGTGAGTGGCTCCAGCCGCTTCCCACAACCCCTACAGAGGCTGGGGGGGAAGGTTCTCTACGGCAGAAGGTGACCCCAACCAGCTCCTGGGATGTGACTGCCTCACCAAACACTTTCTTACCCTCTCCTGACACAAAGGCCACAGAAAGACCTGCAGTTGTGCCACAATGCTTGGGTCACCGGAGCCACCCCAGCACCTAGGCACAACTCCATTCCTGGCACTGAGAAATACCAAGACCCCACCTGATTGAAGGAAACTGGACGTTTCTGCCTGGGCCGGCTTCTAGACTCACAGCACCTCCAGGTGCAGGCAGCCCCTGGGTCACTCCCTCAGTCCCCTGCCCCCAAGACATGTGCCATAACTTCTGGGATGGAGGCACCACCCCAGGCATTGGGGCTTCCCACCACGACAGAAATGGAGGCAGTGGGGAGCAGGACAAAGGATAAACTGTGCGTAGAGGGAACCAGTTATTTCTCGACTTTGTAAAGACCGGGTCGGTCGAGAACCGTTTTCTAGAATCCAAACACAAATAAAGAAGTATTTTCTTGGCATTTGATAACATCGTGTTCTGGCTGTAAAATCTAAGGACGTGTTTGCTGTTGCAACATTATTTTTAATGAGCTGTTATTGGCCCGTCTCACAGTTAGTATTGCCAACAGTCAAAGGCATCACCATGTTTGCAGGTAACACAAGGAACGACATATTTTGACCCCGATTTTCTGTTTATTTTTCACTTATGACACATGCCCTCGTTTTTAGTCCAAACCAGAGGAAAATAAAAGGAAATCTGTCTTCACTGAGGTCCAGGCTAAAATTTTGCCATAAATAGGTACGACGGTTTATTTGGGGGGCAGTTTCCCATGGACAGAAAACGACATCCGACGTCTCAGGCACAGTGGAATCAATTGTGTCGATTGGGCCGGAGGAGCCAGCGGCGCCCTGGAGAGGACCCGAGAGCGCGTCCCCAGCGGGCGCTCCCCGCACTGTCCTCCTGGAAATCTTCACGGCCTCTGGTTCCTCGGCTCCCTCCTCGGGTTTCCCAGCATCGAACGCGCCCCTGCAGCAGTCGGGCGCGCAGACGCCCTCGTCTGAGGCCGGCGCTCGGCTGGGCGGCCGGGGGTGCCCGAGCACCTGCTTCCGCCAGGGGCGAAGCGCGCAGACGAGCCGCTCCCGCCGATCGGCGCCACCCGGGGTCGCCCAGCACGAGCCAGCGGGCCGGCGTCGGGCAGGCGCGTGGGGATGTGGCCCTCCGGGCACCGGCCAGGACTCGGGCAGGCCCCGCGAGCTCGCCTTTGAGGTTTTAGGGCGCCTGCGGACAGAAGAGAGCCCAGCCGGCGGGCAGATGGCGCCTCTCCCGTGCCGCTGCCAAAGTCGGGTGATCTGTTTCCCGGCGCACCCGGCCCGCGCCCACACCCCAGCCCAGCCCCGGCTCCTCCAGGCCTGCGGAAGCCCCTGGGCGCAGCGCGGGGCCGCCGTCCCCAGGGCCGGCCGCCTCCCTCGCGCTCCCGTCTCCGAACCTCTCCGGGCCCCATCGAATTTCATGATCGGCGGAAGCTAAAGTCTGAACCGACTCTCCGCTCCCCCCGCCCCTCCTGACCCCGGAGGCCGCCGGAGCCAGCGCGCTCCAGGCCCGCGGAGCCGCGTCGGGAACGTCCCGCCCAGAAGCGCAGCTGGACCCCGGCGCGAGGCCGCGGCCCGCGGCGGGATGGAGCAGCCGGCTCGGAGCCCCGGGCGGTCGCTTCGCTCGATTTCGCAAAGCAGATCAGCCCGGTCCCCTCCGCCTGCCGCCCTGCTCGCCAGGCGTGGCCAGCCGCAGAGGATGCCGGCGAGAGCGCAGCGCGGGCCGCGAACAAAGCCGCCTCTGTCTCCGCGGCCTCCTGGAGGTTGGGGATGTGCGTCCAGGTCGGACTTGGCCACAGGCCGCCGGAGAGCGAGGCCGGCGAGAGGCTGGGAGACACCTGCTCCGGGAGCACCGTCCCGAGTTACACCAGGGCAACACGCAACGCTTGGTTTTTCTTTCCTTTTTAATTAATTCAATTTCACGACACCATGAAGTGTAACAATATTTTGTGGGTTTTTTTCTTTTTCTTAAAAAGGAACCGAACCAGGACAGAAGTGAGGGGGGTGAGAGGAAACAAACTCTGGCAGAACAACAGGTGTAGCCCACGGAAAGAAAACAGACTGGGTGGCAGAGCCGGGAGCCCCGCGGAGTTCAGGGGGACTTTACAAGAAATCTGTACATTTATCAAATAAGTTAAAATTCTCCTAAATTGATTGTCCTTCACTTAAAGCGCTCCAGTATGCCTATCTGACTCCTCTGAGCATAGCTACCCACTCTGGGTTTTCCTCCTTACCCCGCGCCCCTTCTTGATTTTTTTCTCCTCCTAAACGAATGACCAGGATTATACAGTGAAAACCTCAGCTTCTCCCGGGGCAGAAGCAAGGCTCTCGGGGAATTTTGTACAATATTGCACAGGTCAAAGTAGAGCCGTTACTGCAGAATAAAAAACAGGGGGAGAGAGGAAAGATGCAGGGTTCAAGAAAAATACTGAATTCACTCTTGCAAATCAGGGAATGAAGTCGTAGTGGTAATAATAATAATTTACCAATAAATGGAATTCCCAGAATAAATGCTACTAATAAATAAGGCCACTCGCCTAGGCCAGACGTAGAGCCGTTAGAGTCACCGCAGCTCTGGTTTTTGGCTGCCTTGTCTTTCCCCTTTAAACAGCTAGAGAATTCCTCAGTCACAGAGAGGGAGAGCTGGACTTGAGAGGTGGACTTGCAGGGGCCTCTGCGGGAGGAAGAGGCAGCCTGAGTCGGGTTCTGGAGAGGCTCTCAGATTCTTGCAAGTCGGGGAGGCGAACCGACTGGGGGTGCAGAACCGATTGGAGGCGGAGAGGAAGAACCACACCCAGAAATCCAGAAATAAGAGTACTACTATGTGATTTCTCTCTCTCTCTGGACTTCTGAAAACAGTTCTGTAGAAAATTAATAAATTAGAGGGGCTCCGGTTTTGCGCTTATTTTCTCTATAAAAATAAAATCAAAAAGCCGCCGCGCAATGCAAATGGGGAGGGAAGCCTGCGCATTCTACAAAAGCTTTCAGCCGAAATATTTGACCCGGGATTTTTTTTTTTTTTTTTGTCCCTGCTCTCTCTTAATGTGAACCAAAACCAAAAGTAAGAGGGGAAGCGCCTCGAATCCGTTAGGGGTGAATTGCACGAAAATGCATTGCAAATACTTACAAAACGCTACCGATTGGGGGAGGGGAGGCCGGGGCCGCGCGCCCAAGCCCCGGCTCCCGAAGGCCCCCGGACGTCCGGGCGCCCTCTCGGCCCGGCCCAGTCTCCTCCGGGGTCCGGGCAGGGGCCGGGCAGGGGCCGGGCGCTCCCGCCCGCCCCGCCGGGCCTCAGACGGGCCTCAGCAGCGGCACGGACGACACGACGGGGTGCGAGTAGTAGACGGGGTGCGGGAAGGTGAGCAGCGGCTGGCTGACCGGCACCGGGGCGCCCGCGGCCGCCGCGCCCTCGGCCGCCGAGTTCTCGTGGTACAGGATGGGCACCCGCACGATGCGCTGCGCCGCGGCGTGGCTCAGGTTGGCCGCCTCCAGCTCGGCCGCCAGCTGGCGCTTCCACTTGTTGCGGCGGTTCTGGAACCAGATCTTCACCTGCGTCTCGGTGAGGTGCAGCGACGCGGCCAGGCCCGCGCGCTCCGAGCTGCTCAGGTAGCGCTTCATGTCGAAGGTGGACTCGAGCTGGAAGACCTGGCTGCGCGAGAACACCGTGCGCGTCTTCTTCTTGCGGCACGCCGGCTTCTTCTCGGGGCTCCCCGCGCCCCGCTTCCAGTCCTCGGCGCCCGGCGCCGCCGCTGCGCCCCCGGCGCCCGCCCCGGGCCCGCCGGCCGCCTCGTCCTTCTTGGCCTCCTCCGAGTCGCTCTCCTCCAGGACGATCTCGTCCGGGCTCTTGGAGTCCAGCTCCTTGCGGTCGGGCTCGGCCTTGAGCGGCGGCTCCGGGGAGTCGCGGTCGGTGCCGGAGGCCGGCGAGGAGTCCCGGAGCAGCGCCTTCTCGGCGGCTGGGGAGAGACAGACAGACGGACGCACACACACGCGCGCGGCCTTCAGCGGGGCGCGGCGCCGGGGCCGCAGGCTCAGTCCGCGCCGGCCCCCGGCCCGGCCCCCCGGCTCCCCCGGCCCCTCCTTCCGCGCCCGGCCGGAGTGGGGGTCGGCGTCCGGGTTCCCTCCTCCCGAGCGCGGGCGGGAGACCCGGGCGGCGCCGCGCCGCGGCTCGCGTCCTCCGCTCCCGCGCCAGGGGCCGGGGAGGGCGCGGCCGCCGGGGAGGGCCCGCCCGGGGCTGCGCCCTCCGCGCCGCCCCCGGCCCCGGCGCCCGAACCCCCGACTGAGCTCGGAGGGCGCTGCTCCCGGGACGCGCCGCTCCCGGGGCTCCGAGTCCACTTTTTTCTCACCAAGTGGGACGGGATGCCCGCGCAGCGCGGCCGCGCCCAGGGGCAGGAGCGGCGGCCGGGGCCGGGGGCCGGGGCCGGGGGAGTCGCCGCGGCCGGCAGGTGCGGGGTCCCTCCGGCCGCGGGCGCCTCGCGGGGTGGGGGTGGGACGGGCGCGCGGGGGGACTAGGGCGGTTCAAAGAGGGTCGGTACCTTCAGGTCGCGGGAGGTGGCCGCCGGCGGGGGCCAGGGTGTAGGGGTACCACCAGGCCGGGGCGCGCTCCAGGTAGTGCGCGGGCAGGGCGAACCTCTGCGCCGGGATCTCAAAGCGGGGGAAAGCCAGGTCGCCCACCTGCGAGAGCGCGAAGCCCGCGGCGCCCTCCAGGGCGCCCTTGGCCGCGGCGGCCGCGGCCGGAGCGAAGAGTGTCCGTGGGGGCGGCTGCGGCTTGGGGGGCGGCCGGGGGTGGTCTCCGTTGAGCAGGTTCTTGATGGAGAACGGGGACTCCTTGGGCGCGGGCTGCGGGGGCGGCGCGGGGGGCTGCGCGCTGGCGGCGCCGGGGGCGTCCGGCCCGGGCTCGGGCATGGTCCCCACTCCTCGGGCGCCCGGGAGGGCGGGCGCGGGGCGCGGGCGGCCGGGCGAGCGCGCGGGCGGCCGGAAGTCAGACCATGCGCGGGACCCAACTCCGGGGCGCAAAGTCGGGGGCCGCCCGAGGCGCAGTCCCGCGGCGCGAGGGCGGGGTGGGGGCCCGGCCGGGGCGGGCTCGCATGGGGGAGGGGCGCGCGCGGGCGGGGAGCGGCCCTGCCGCGGGACCCGCGGCGCTGGGCGGCTCGGCGGCGGCTGCGGCTCCGGGGAGGAGGCGCGAGAGCCGTCCCCGGCTCGGGGCTGCGTCAACCCGGCGCCGGATGCTAATGATGAAATCAAAATGTCATCCAAGTTAAATGCGGGGAGTATGCGGCGATTGGGCGCGCACAATGGCAAATGGGATTAGGCAGGCGAGGCGCGGCCGAGCCCGGGCCCCGCAGCCGCCTGCCCACCGCCCCCTCCGCGCGCCCCTCGGATTTTGGCGCTTTGGCTTCGGGCGACGAGCGCCCGCCTGTTATTGGCTTTATATAGTCCAATTAGGCAGCAAATGAGGACAAGCCTATTAGCACAAAAGGATATTGGCTCCCGCTAAAGAGGCACTCGGAGCGCTCCGGCGAGCGCAGGAGGCGAGCGGGGGACGCGGCGCGGGCGGCGCCCCCGGCCGGAGCGCACCGACAGCCGCGCGCCCCGAGCCGCGCCGCGCTCTCCCCCCGCGGCTCCGGGACCCGCTCGCCGCCGCCCGGCCCGCGGGAGGGGGAAGGGGCGGGCCGGGCCCGCCCGGGTCACCGAGGGGTTACCCGCGCTCGCAGCTGCCGCTCCCCGCCCCCTGGGGCTCGGAGGGGTCCGCGCCCCCGCGCAGCTGGAGAAGCTCCCGGCGCGGGCCCGGGAGGCAGGACGCGACCTCCGCCCCGCGGCGAGCTCAGCCCTTTCCTACCCGTTGAGGTTCGGCGGCCTCAGCATTTCCCCCAAAGCCTGCCGAGAAGGGTGCGACCGCGAAGAGGGGGCTTTGGGCTCCCCACCCGCCGTCGGGGCTGTGGGAAGGGCCTGGGGTTGGGGCGATCAGGCCGTGCACGGCGCCCACCGGCGCAGGCATCCATATGGCCTCGGCCTTTGGCCCTGGGAAGCCGAGGAGTGAGCCTGCGGCCCCTGCAGGGAAAAGTAGGCGCACGTCTTCGGCACCCGCGTGGGCGCGCAGACCCGGCTGGTGCCCGCGCCCCCTCGGAGGAGTGACCGGGGCGTGGAGACCGCCGCGCCCGGGGGTGCGCGCCCCTCCTGCTCTGGCCGCCCCGGCCGCGGCCTGCGCTCCACTCGGGGCCGCGACCCCAGACGGCACTTCCTCCCGGGGAGTCTCTTCGACCGGCGTTTGGAGCTGCCTAACGCAGTGACAGGCGCGACGCGAAGCGAAGGCTCAGCGGCACCTTCCCGCGGCCGCGTGTTAGTGGCCGGGGCACCCGAGCACGTCCCGATGGCCGCCACCCTGGCCGGCCTCCGAGAGGCGGCTGGGCGAGGGTCACTCGACTCCGTGGGCTTTGAAAACGACTCCCCAAGTGGCCCCCTTATGAGGCAGGCGTTCGGGAGGCGAATAAATAAGACCTTCGTCTGACGTCCCTTCCCAAGAAACGGCTCCCTGGTCAAAGGTGGCAAAGTGGCCACGACTCCCGCCGCCCCCGGGAGCTGCTGCACACGCGGGGTCTCTGTGTGGCTCCTCCGCGGTCTGTTCACCAGCGCCAGCGCCCCGACCCAGCTCGAGGCTGCCCTGCCTGGCCAGGTGGGATGGCGCTGGCTTCCCTAGGGAAGGGCCCCCATCCCGGGGCTTGAGACCCGCCACGCCACATCCCCACCGGCAAGTGTGACGCTTCTTTCTGCGAACATTCATCACAGTCGTGAGCGCTATTTTTGCTTTGGGAACCCCAAACTCGGTAAAGGGTGTTCCCACAAACAGTTTCATTATCACCCCATGAGTGTGAGGCTTTACTGGAATGCAAAAGCGCCGGACCCGGCGAAATCTGAGGTGCAACCAATCACAGCCCCGTGACTCCAGCAGGGTGGGCGCCAGCCGTGGGTTTTAGAGTTGCAAACGGGCTCTCCCCCCAGAGGTAGGGACTGGCCCAAGGTCACCCCACCGGTGCCGGACACCCACAAGCCCTTTTCTTTGCAGCTGCAGAAAGGTCCACGCGAGTCTGTGCGCGCAGGCTGCGCGGGGGCCGGGGCCGGGGTGGAGAGGCCGCCGTGCCCGCGTGCGCGCGGTGCGGGAGCGCCCGGGGCCAGGCAGACGCGCGCGGCTGTGCCAAAGCTCCGACGCACGGAGCCGCCTTCCAACCGAGACAAGCTGAAAAGTTTCTCGCTTCCCGGGAAAAGAAGCTCCCGCACACTCTGCCCAAAACTGCTTGAAAAAGTGCAGGATCTGGGCTCATCGAACCTAGGTGGCTGGAAGGTGCACAGGCTTGGGGGGGCACGAGGCCCAACAGCACCCCCGGAGCCTGCCGCGCCGCGCCCCCAGCGCGCAGGCGGTGCGCTGGTGTGTGCGCTCGCGTTTTGACGAGGGAGAGTAGTTTCTGGGGTGTCAGCACCCCAACTCCTCCCCTGAGTTTTAGTGATGTTGGGCTGGGGCCGCGAGGTGCGCAGAGTAAGTTTTTCTTTCCCTTCAGCTCGTGGCTCAGGCCCCAGCGCGAGAGCGCGGCTCACTCGCCCTCTGGCGAAGGGTGTCGCCTCTGCGGGCGCCCACGACTCCCTTCAAAGTCAGGCAAGCAGCGCCCTCTGTGGGGCGTCTTCTAAACCAGGCCTGCTGGCTCCCCGGAACCAAGTCCCTGCGCGAAGCGTTTAAAAGTCGCCCGGGTCTAACCCTCCTGGCCGAAGCTGGAAACCAAAAGCCCATTTTCTCTGGATTCTGGGAGAAGCAGAGAGAGAAATCGCCTGCTCACCTCTGCTGGTCTCTACCTGGCCACCAAAAGAAACGGTCACACCTACTTCCCGCCCTCTCAGCCCCCACCCCCTTTCCAGAGCCTGTTTTGAGGCCCAGGGTAACCCACCCCAGATGCTCCCGCCCTGGCCTGCAGCAGCCCGGACGGGAGCTCCTGGAAGGGCAGCGGCTCCCCAGGCCCGGCCAACCCATCGGCTGGGGCTCGGTGGGGGCTGTGATGGTGCCTGCGCGCGTGAGTGAATGATTCACAGTTCCCTTGCAGAGAATTGCTTAGCTGATTAAGAAGCTTCAGGAGCGTGTTCACCCCCAAGATAGCGTTAATAAATTGATGGGAACCTGAGGTCTTTTGCCACCACATTTTACAAAACCTGAAAGGACCTCCTCAGTAGGGCCTCTGGAGGGGCCTTTCACAGGGTGAGCCAAGGTGATGGGCGATGCAAAGCAGGTGTCTGCCCATCCCCGGTGGACCACCGAGCCATGAGGACCCTAGTGGAGAAGGCTAGTGATGAACGCCCACCTTTTACACAAAAGAATGTGGCCTGCCGAGTGCTTACGAGGCCTCTCACCTGCCTTCCCACCTCTACCACAGGTGTGCACACGCGTGGGTGAGTCGTGAGTCCCCCAGGGGAGGAGAGAACTTCCCTAGTCTTCAAAACTTCACCTGCTTCCTTCCCGAGGGTCCTTCTTGGAAAAGATTCTGGGGATATTGAAGAGGGCGTGGGAGAGGCACTGTGGGTTCTTAGCTAAGGCTGCAGGCTTCCCAGGCATGGAGGTGCCCACATGCAGCCTAGCCAGAGCCTGCAGTGGCACTGACTGTCACGTTTTACCTCCAAACTCTCCTGACGTGAAGACTCCCAGTTTGTAGGCAGAGTGGGTGCCAGCCTGGAGTTGATCCTGGGGAACCCTCCCTGGCTGCAAGCAGCCTGAGTTTCTCTCCTGCAAACATCTCTCCCATTTCTGCCAAGGCTGTCAGGAATGCTTCCCAAGTCTCCTCCCGCTGGCTGAGGACTGAGGCTCTGGAAAAAGCACAGCCCTGGGAGAGGGGTCCTGCCAGCACTGTCCTCGAGGCGGGGGACGTGCAGACGCACCCAGCTGCCCAGGGTTGCCAGGCGGGCAGTCATGCAGGAAGCACGGTGCAAGGGCTGCCCTTGCTCTCCCCATCATCCTGGAAGAGCCCAGGATGGACCAGAAATCCATTCTTGGAGGGTTTCCCCTCAAGAAAGTGAGCACGGTTCCACAAGGGAGAGAGGCCCAGGCATGACCATTGTCTCAAAGAGAATTCAGGATCCACAGGCCAGTGCGCTCTGCTACAGGCTCTCCCTCCCTTTCTCTTCTCTTGTCTTAAAAGAGCCTTTCTCCTGAAGCCAGGGCTCCGCCGCCTGAGCTCACTGCAGATCGCTCTCTGGCTTCAGAGTTCTCACTAGGGGAAAAGATGCGTGGAGCTTTGCATTTTGCTCCGCTGAATCTTACTCTTATCAGCACCTGACTATTTTGTGGGCTCGGGCCGACAGTTCGCTGTGACCTCTGACAAGGTGCTGAACTCCGTTTCAGCCTCTTCATCCCATGAACAATGGATGCAGCAAAATAACTGCACCAGGAGAGCAAGGCAGGCGGCCCTTCCGGTCTTGGCCATGGTATCTCAGGGTGGAAAAGGCCATACAAGGTCTCGGCCTCCATCCTGTGCTTCCCCTCCTGTACCTGCCCCCGGAGTAAAGCTGTGCCCTCCACACCATACGCAGTGGGCACCTGTGGTGGTGTCAAGGCCCATCGTGGACTCAGATGCTCTGGTCTCACTTCACTGAGATGGGCAGAGAGTTCCAAAACCAGATCCTGCTCCCTACCAAGAAGGTTGCCATGATGTATTCAACAAAGCTTTGTTGAGCACCTAATATGTGTCAGATTCTATTCTGGGCCCTTGGGATGCCCCCCTACCACTCTCTCCCCAAAGTAAAGACCCCTACCCTCAAGGAGCTTACTTTCTAGTAGGGGTCGTTATGAAGTGTGAGGAGGGGATAGGTGTTAGGGCAACAACTTAAAGGGGAGCAGGAAGGGCGGGAGGGAGGGTGCTGGGGCATTAAAT